AGGTGAACCTCCATTGGTTAACTCGGATGGTTTGTTTCCATGTTTTTTTTTTATCTTTTCACTCGTTCCATATGCCCCTTTCTGAGTAAAAGAGAATTCTCATTGGTTAAGTCCATGGGTTTTTGGAATAAATTGTTCACATCTGGATTATCTTCTCACTAAAGTTGGGGCATAAGTAACAGCACCCCATAGGCCCAATAGGAACACCTATAGTTGATTTTCACAACTATACAACACTGTATCATGATGCATCTAAGGTGCTCTCCAAACTATCCCTTGACCATCAAGGATCTGAAAGTATGAAACCTATTCTTCTTTTGGCTTTGCTTTAGGCCATGTGCTGTAACAAAACTCTCTGATTGGGATGCTGAAACGCAGGTATGGCTTACGAAATTGGCTTTTTTCACACTCAATGTGACTTTTCATCCATACATAAAGTAGTTGTAAACACCCATTAAACTAACTTTTACCATTCATGCAATAAAAGTTCAGAGAATAAATAGTTTTCACTAAAATAGTTGGTGCTACATTGACTCGGTATGCTAACTGATTGACAAAATCTATCACTGCGACATCAACATACCCAATGACTTTTGAAAAGATCACCAGTTCATCTAAAGCTATAGCCATGGCCACTAACTCATGATCATAATCCATATAGCTCTGGATAAAATCTCATAAAAAACTTCATGAGATCGTCTTACTTTCACCTTTTATCTTGACGCATGTATTGACTTGAGGTAAGCTAAGTCTAAGCATTTGCACCATCTTTTTACGATAGCCTACCTTATTCGATCAATAGATTTTGTCCAAGTTTGGTAAATCGAGGTGAAGTAAAACCATATATTCTTCAATTGTGGGCATCATGTCTGCTCCATTAAAAACGAAACATCTATGAGAACGATCCCAAAATTGGAAGATGGCTATAATCAGATTATTATCCACATCCACTTGGAGTAGTGAAGCTATGTCTCCATATCTGTTCTCAAATGCCTACTACCTTGTTCTACTCATGCATCTCCAAACACTACTTAAGTCAGATAGATCATTTTGTTGAAGATCGAGATGAACTTTCTCAGGCAATGATGAAACAAAACCTTCAGGCAGACAATTTTTCTATTTTTTTACCTTTTTTTGACCTGATTGTCAATTGATAGGCAGATTCATAATTGACTGATGTAGACTTTGATTACATATGGCTTTCCATGGATGTTAGTGTAAGATCTGATTTATCGATAACTGATATGTGACAAATATTTCTTATATGAGAATGATGTAAATAATAATGTTAAACATGACCATGAAAATGATGCACAAAATGAAATGATATGACAATGTTAGAACATGAGCATGAAATGATGCAGATGCACATAATCAAACAAACAAAATAGTTAGATAAGCAATACACAAGTTGTTCCTTCTTGTGTCTTAATTTTGGATTATATCTATAATGGATAGGAATGGCTCTAACTTAGGGCTAACTTTTTAATAGTGAACTATATGCAGAGTTAGGTGATTTTGACCATTAAAGGTTCTCAAATTATTTCTTACATCATTATCCATCACAAATTGTAAGACAATCCAATCCTCACCTATCACAGGCTATCGACGAAAATGATTCAATATGAGTGGGAGTATTTCGCTAGCTATTGTGAAGATTATCATCTCACAAGAGCGTAGGTACTTTACTCCTTCATAAAAAGGATAGAGCCCGAGTATAGAGCCCATGTAATATAAAAGTATGTGATAGTGTGTGTGAAGAAACATATAGGTTTCATGTTCCAAAAATAAATTACAAGATAAAAAGAATAAAATGTTAGTAAACAGGTAACACAAGTCATTACAAATTAAAACTATTAGACCAAAGGATAAGATAAATTCAAAAGTTATGATCTGACTCTCTAGCTTTCCCAGTGGAGTTGTCAAACTGTTATAATATATAGATTGGTCACCAAAGGAATTTATCATTTTAAGAAACTTCTAAGCTTGACTAAGATTTCCTAAAAGAATAGGTTCGGGTCTACAAACCAAAATAGGGTTTGAGAGTTTGATTACATGTGAAAAAGGTTATAGCACCCTCTACATGCTCATCTAAAGGATGGCACCATATTTTTTTAAATTTATCCTAAGGTTTTGAGTCTAATGGTTTCAAATTTTTATGTTAAATATTAAAAGTAATTTATAAGATTCCTCTATCAATCTGGTAGAACTCTTAAAAAATATTTTCTCACCTCAAGAATATTCGAGAATCCTATTTGTTTCCTTGAAGAGGCTCTATTGTCGAAAAAAATTTTGTTGATTTTATACTTTTTGTATTGAAAATATATCTAATTATTCCACAATTTGAGCCAAATTAAAAATATTTTCCCCTTTGAATTTTTACATTTTCTCCATTTGGGTCTATTTAAAAATTTCCTTTTATTATTATTTATTATTTATTATTTCTAAATTTTTCACTATTTTGATCGATTTAGAAATATTTTTTTCCTAAATTTCTAATTTTTTCACCATTTAGGCTTATTTAAAAATTCTTTTTATTTTTTTTGAAAAGAAAATAATATGACAATTATTTTTATTGAAATTTCATTTCAATTATTCTACTATTTGAGACAAATTTAAAAAAAATTTATCACCTAGAGATTTCTTAAAAATTTACCATTTGAAATTTTTAAGAATCTCCTCATTGGATAATTATCAAATATTTTCAACAAAAAAAAATATTTGGAAAAAAATACAATTACTTTTATTAAAATTTCATGTAAATTATTTCACTATTTGAGATAAATTTAGAGAAATTTCTCAATTAAAAATTTTATGAAAATTTACCATTTAAAATTTTTATAAATTTCATCATTGAATAATTAATATTTATTTTCAAAATTTATTTTATTTTATCCTTTTTTATTTTATTTTTCCTAAATTTAATCATGCAAAAAAAAATAAATAAAAAAACACATAAAAATAAATAAAAAAAATAAAAAAAAGACTTGGCTTGCGGCTCGGTATGTTTCAACTTCAGACACAAAAAACCGGCTCAGAGACTCGGCTTAGTGGTAATCGACTTGGCTCGACTCAATAGTAGTGATTGACTGGGAAGTGGGTTAAAGGGGGGTTGAACGACGGGTATGGTTGCCCAGCGGTAAAACGTGTGGATCCTAAGTTGAATTAAGATGCCAAAATGACATTGTTTTAGAGCCGTTATAAAAGGTTAAATCTCAACTTATTTCCTTAGATTCCATTTTTCCCTTCTCTTTCTTTTCCCTCTTTTTTTTTTCTCTCTCTCTAAGATACAAGAACATCGATTGAATCCTTCATCGATTTTTGGGATTGCCGTTGAAATTTGGGTAAAGTCACCGAAAGTTCATCGAAAAGTTCAACGGTTTTTGGGGTGTGACGTCGAAAACTAGGGAACTAGTTGAAAACTGAAGAGTTCGCCAGAATCTCGTCGAAAAATTTAAACGGCACTGAAAAATTTATCGAAATCTGAAATTTTTTTTTTTAAAAAAGAGCCAAAAAATTAAAAAAAAAATCCTAAAAATTCTAGAATCACATCTACTTTTCTAAACACCTTTTTTGCTTATGTTTTCTGTCTGTTTGCTTTCTGTGTCCTCTTTGCTTTTGATTAATAGCTATTTATAGGGATCAATTATAAAGTTTGTTACTAATCCATATTCCCATTTTGATTAAGTTTCTAGATTATCCACAGAACATCAAATTCATCCTATAGTTTTTGAATCCAGTTGCAACTCTGCCAATCCCAATCCTTGGCAGAATATTCCTTCTTTTTATATTATATTTCTTTATTATTTTTTTAACCTTTATTATTATCTTAATCATCATCATTATCTCCTAACAACAATCGAAGATTAATTAGGAAAAGATAAATTCTAGAAGAACAAAATAAATAAATAAATAATTAATTAATTAAATTAAAATTTTGGACTTAACTGACCCTATTGGATTAGGCCTAATTGATCCAGGTTTGAACCAAATTGGGTGTCTATAATGTTTAGAATTGAAAGAAGATTAATTAGGAAAAGAAAAATTCTAGAAGAAAAAAAAATATAATAAACTAAATAAATAAATAAATAAATAATTAAATCAAAATTTTGGACTTAACTGACCCCATGGATCAGGCCTAATTGATCTGGGCTTGGACCAAATTGAGTGTCTACAATGTTTAGAATTGAAAGTTCATTTCATAATTGCATGCATCTAGGAAATGAAATCTGCCCACGAACAAATAAATCCATTCTCACCCTCAATCCCCTTCCTCCGCCTCAATTTCCTGTCTTTGAAAAACAAAAAAAAAAAAAAGAAATCTACAAGAAATCTTGAATTTTCTGCTGTTTTGGGGGATGCTTATTTCCAATCAGAATCAATTTGATGAAAGACAGGTATTAAGGACCTAAGGAAGACTATATGGAAGCACAGGAATCCAGAGGTGGCTGTTCAAGCTAGAGTTTTCCTAATGCGGTAAAGTGAAATGATAATGTTCTTTGTATTAATTTGAGCATTAACCAAAAGGGCTGCCCATATGGTTTTCACTGTGGCAGACTTGCATTGTTTTGCTTGTTTTGGACATTGGAATAAGACATTTCAATAATCCCTTAAAAAAAAGAAACTTGGGTATTGATCACAGCAAATGATAATTTGACTTTCATCATAGGAAAATGAAACATAAATGCCGAGATTTAGACAAATTCAGATAGATACAACATGCATCTCTTACAACCAATGCATTTTACATACATATGATAAAGACTCATTTGTTCTCAAAATATGTCAGAACATTTGAAACCAAACTTTCAGAAGTTTTAATTTAAATTTTAAATCATTTCAACAAATTGAAAGTTTCGATTCCAAGAAGCAGGAAAACAGCAGTACATAGTACATAGGCCAAAATCAATGGAAAACCATTTCTCTTTCTATTTTACGCTCAGACATGCATATTCTCTGTGTTTTTCTCAGTTCAAAGTAGGAAGAAATTTAACACTTACTTGAATTGCTCTGAACTTTGCTGATGTAGTGTTTGAAGAAGTTCTTCTGGAACTGTAGCTGAAGGAGCATTATGTCTATTCTTAACAGCAAGAACAAACACCTGACCAATTCTTGTGAAGGGATTTCCCTCGTTCACTTTGACACTATACCTGTATGTCTTTGTTCCAAGCAAGAAAACCAGCAAGGCGACCAACATTACTATACAGACAATTCCAAATCCAAAAGCCCAGCTAAGGTTGTCTTGGATGTAAACAATGATCACAATTGACAGAAGTACACCTGTGCATAAAGCAAAATACCACCAATTGAAGAATGAGTTTTTAGCTATGCTCTCCTTTGGGTCACTTCCATCAAACTGATCAGCTCCAAAAGCTTGAACACAAGGCTTGTGCCCACCCAGTCCAATTGCTACTAGATACAGAGAGAAGATGAATGAGAATACTAGGATCTTTGGAGTAGAGCATGATATAATATCATTGGTGTTTTGGCAATCCAAATTACTCAGGGAAGTTAGCATAGTCGATAGAGTCAATAAGCCTAGAGCCTGTGATCAATTGCAAGCCAAGCACAGATGGTTAACCCTCAAGAACTAAAGAAATATTTAACTTGAATTCTGAAAAAGAAAAACTCATCGCATTCAGTTCTGATGTATCAGAAATAACTTTTTAAGATTGCTTAAAAGAAAAAAATCAATCAAATATGTTTGAAAGCGTTTTGCTGTTTGGGAAGAATGCCTGCTAGTACCTTTTGAATGATAGTAAATGGACAAACACTACAGGAATCAGCGTAAGTCAGATCTTAAATAATTCCTTCACACTTGTGATTTTCATTTCTTTTTAAGGATCATTCCATCATTGATGCAGTGAACAAAGTGAAATTTACATGTGCAAATGAACACATAAATAAAGTGACGAGAAATAATATCAAACAAATAATGTAATGCCCCTCTCAGGTCTCACCTTATAGGCAATCACTTATTTGCTGAAAGCATTGATGCACTGAGAACTAGCATGCATCATTTCAGTGTTATTTTGTGTGAGATAACTTAAATTATAAGCAATATCATCTTTTCATTACAGATTGTCCACAGATCACTTCCACAAGTAAACCTGCTGAATCATCACCCCACCTCCTTTCTTCTCTTCCACAAAATTCCTTTTCCTTTCCACATCAACTCATTTGTTGCTGGTATGACAGTGGCAGATCCAAAGAGTTTGTTTTGATGTCCATTTATAACATATATAAACAAAACTACCAATAGATTTACCAATTTTATGACAGAAAAGGTGTCCAAGGAAAAGTTTTGAGGGTGTCTAGGGGAACATTTTCCTTCAAACTTTTTTGTTTTCCAATCTTTGGGAGTGTCCATGGACACCCTACTACTCCATCTGAATCCGCCTCTATATGTCAGATCCCAAATTCAATTTAAAGTCACCTTCATCATCAATACCGAAAATGCATACTTTTGCACTGCACTACACCAATCAGTCCAAGAAACTCTCTGCTTCATGCATGTTATAACTGATAAAGGGCTCTCTCAAATTGTTTTCTGAGTTTCTCCAATTTCATTTACACTTTTGCAGTTCCTCTATTCTTCTGACAGTGCGCCACGATGATAATAAACTATTTGATGCTGTGATGCCAAAAATCAAATGTTCATGATGCTACTGTTAATGATGCAGAGAGTAGGAATGGGAACTGGGAACAGAAAAACATGACAAATTAACAATTCAAGTCCAGCCACCTTGCATCAGGGTTTCTCATTTATCAACAGAAATTTGTTTCTTTCCTGTTGGCATGGGTTCAATCTATCAGATTATTCATTTTTCTAGTTCCATTTACAATAAATTTTTTCATAATTTTAATTTGAAAAGCCACTGATTACTCACCAGCAGGCAACAGTTTAGCTATTGATATTCATATTTGTGATATGAAGCTCAAGCCACTCTCCTATTTAGAAAATCTTGCTTTTCCTCTATCTCTTTGGATATATATCATCATACATTCCAAAATCTCCATCCCATATTTTTAGGCCAAAGTAATTGAGTAGCTGAAAGGCTGATGCATATTAATAATAAGGCCATCCTTTAATTCACTTTTGTTTAAACTAATTGCAAAATACTAATAAGACCAAATTTTTATCAGAATAAAAGTATTATAAAAAATGTACTAAAAGGAGAAATAGAGTGAGAAACTCGAGAAACACTTGCCGCCCATGTTTAATAAATCAAAAACTAACCCCACACGCTTAAGCAATAACTGTTGAAACATCAACCTCACATTTTGCAAAATAAAATCAGAAACATATTGAAGATCAAAGCCACACGTTTCCATCAATTTCTGAGAGAAGAACAGTTCATTAATAATAATAATAACAATAATAACGGCAAACGGACTAACCAAAATGTAGATGAGCGAAGAAATAATGATTGTGCGGTAGCGGCCAAGGTAAGCGTCGGCGAGAAATGCACCTAAAAGTGGCAGCAACGTGGCTGTGCCCGACCAGGCGTTGACGTTCTCAGCTGCGGTGGCGGTGGACTGACCGAGTGGCCCCGTCAAATAGGTTATAAGGTTGGAGCTAATCCCATAATAAGCAAACCTCTCCGCCAGCTCCACAGCTGTACGTTTTTGTACAACAATTCGATGAATTTAGCTTTATTATTATATACTTATGAAAATTAATTTGAATCTGTCCCTATGTATTTACTTACCTATGATGAAAGAGGCAGATCTCCATCCTCCAGAGCTGGATCTTCGGGCTGGACAACCTTTGTGGTCAACTGACCCATCGACGGTACCGTCTTCTAAAAGTGGAGTTTCAGTGCTACGAGTTGTAGAAACAATGGCCATGTTTGTTATTGCCCCGCTCAGTGATTGGTGCATGATACTCACTGATCCCATTAATTTTGTCTACACCTAAATTTTTTCCGTTCAAAATGTCACTTTAAAAAGTCAATATATTTTAATATTTATATTTACTCTTGGATAAAATATATAATTAGTCACCAATTATATGAATATTTTTAAAATGAGCATTTAATTATTAATTTTTTAATTTAATCACCTAAGTTGCAATAAGTGTTTTTATTTGTATTTCAATTGTTAGTTTCTAATGATATGTTGAGCAAATATAAATTCATACATCTTACTGAATCAAGTATCATTTTTATATATTTATATATAGATCATTCAAAAATATCATTTAAATTATGCTTCCAAAACATTTATGTAAGTATTCAAAGAATTGATATCATATCAAAACATATTATTTCATCAAATATAAATCATAAATTATGATCAAATACATATTTCATTTAAATCATGGATTAATCTTCAAAATTATAAATTTATCATTATTATTGGTTCATCATTAGTTATGATCATTATTATAACTCATTATAATGGTTGTATCAATAATTTTATCATCATTATTATTACTAACTATTATAATATGTTAGCCAAAGCTTTACACTAATTATTATAACTCGCTAATAGGCCGTATGATCATAGTTATACTAACTATTATAACCTATTAACGAAGGTCATAGAATTAGTTTTGATGTCAATTGTCTCATTTCCTAAGGACTTATTTGTAGTTATCATAAAATTTTTCTTTAAGCATAAATCAATTTTTTATTTCATTTATAAGCATGATCTAATATTTATATAATAAAATACAAAATAATCATATGCTTGATCTTCTTTTTATATATTAAAAATAAAGAAATAAAATCTTTACTCATTTAGAAATATACATATATAAATAAGTTTGAAAACAAGTAAAGTGTGTGAGATTTTATTTACCTTCTTTCGATTTCACTAGTTATTTTTTTTCCCAAAAGTAATTAACGGCCTATTCAAAGTTATTTCAACATATTAGAAATTAATCAATTATTTTTGAGGTAATTTATATTAAAATAACTAAATTATACAAAAATTAACTTAACTAACTAATGCTGATAGCTGAAGCTATTTTTACTAATCTAATTGTATATTAAGATATACAACTTGGAATTAAGATTTTTTTAGTGCATTAGAAACTAGACACATAAGCTTTATAACTATACATGGCCTACATTGTAATTTCTTGTAGATTAATTGTAATAATTTTTTGTAATCCACGTCATGATTCCAGATAACATGTATACCTTTTAATAAAAATTAAATATTTATTCATAGGAGATTCAGAATTCGGTTCTACTTATTTTGTTTGAAAGTAGACTCTAAGCATTCTAAAAATATATGGTTCAATTTATAATTTATTGTATAAAACTTAAGAGAATTTTCCTAATTTCTCTTTATTGCTGCTATTAGGCAACTTGCACATCCTTAATTAAAAATTAGACAACTCTTCATATAAAAATATGCCATACAATTGCACATTTGCATGCATTTAAGTAAGTGGTAAGGTTTGTTTTTTTATTTGAAACTTGACAGTGTAATATCTAAAATGGAACAGTAGAGGTTGGATTATCATATGCAAAATTAGGATCTTTAATTACCCTATATTTCATACCTTAATCTTCAAACCAAATTCTTTAGAAAAGATAAGATTAATGATCTTAGTACCTATAGCCAATTCTCAGTTTCTTTGCATAAATTGAGTGATGACTCCAAAATTGAACCTACATCAAAACAAGATCGATAAAAGGTGTATCAATTGATTTTTAAATATCATGGTTTACTAAAATTAAGTATTAACTATTAAGGTTAAGCCAAATAGTTAACCCAATATTATTCTTATTTACTGTTTTTTATGAATGATATTTGCTACATTTTTTGATAATGTCTACTTTTCAACATTTCAATTGGATATTTGATCAATTGATGTATATAATTATATCTATCAATTTTCTTGTTCATTTTTCATATTGTAATTTTAAATATTTTTATATAAATATTAATAATATTTATCCTATACAAATAAGAATTTTAATACTTTTAGTAAATTTATAAATAAAAATTGATAAACCTGCATTATATTGCTTTATCTTTAGAGTTTTAATTTTATATTAATTTTAGAAGTAATAAATTTTATGTTAATGGGTATCTAATAAATTGATGAGTTCAAGAGGAGCTCGTCCTAAAATAGAGTCTCTTCGAGCTTAGAGTTTTGTAAGAAAGTTTTTTCAAGTCTTATAAGGTGCAAGAGTATATAGTCTTAGTTAGTGTTTCGGATAAGAGTTTTGTCTAGGATTTCAGTGGCTACTTAGTGGACAAAAGAGTTCATGTACTGTTTGAGGGAAAAATGGTGGAAGAGTTAAAAAACATGTGGGTAAAGCTCACATTAACTGAAAAAGAGAAATAATGTGTAGATATAGTGGATTTACCAGAGGATAGTGACCCATTTGAGGATTAATGGATGGTGGGAAAATTATTAACAAATGGAACTTTCAATAGGGCGACCATGATAAACAAATTCAGAATGATATGGAAATCATCGAAAAAGATGAAAGCCAACTTGTTCATATTCAAATTTGGAACAAAATATGACAGAAAAAGAGTATTGAAAGGTTCACCATGGACTTTTGAAAAGAATTTAATTGTCTTTCGAATCAAAACCACAATGGTGACTTATGACCACTACAGTGGTTTTGGTTTTTTTTTTTTTTTTTTTTACGTTTAGTGGCTTTTATAAATGCCACTAAAAAATTGGCAGTGTTGACGAAAAACGCTAGTCAGAGTGTCGGCTATGCATGTATCGTGAAAAATAATGGCATTTTCTATAAAATGCTGCTACATTAGCGGCATTTGTATTTGAAAAATGTCGCTATATTAGCAGAATTTGTATATGAAAAACACCGCTATATTAATGGCGTTTGTATGAGAAAAATGTCGCTATATTAATGGTGTTTGTATCTGAAAAATGTCACTATATTAGCGATGTTTGTATTTTTGATAAACTACTAATTTAGTGACATTTTTATCAGAAAAATGCTGTTACTTTGGTGGCATTTGTATCAAAAAAATGCTGTTAATTTAGCATATTTTCTAGCAAGAGCACTGCTATTTTTTGTGACATTTTATGGTACAAACGTCACTAAATTATACATTTAGCGATATTCTTGAACACAAACGCCACGAAATTAAGAATTATATATTTTTTTAAATAAAAATTTTTTGTTAATATTTATTATTTTAAAAAACGAGCTTAAATTTAGATACTGAAATTAATATAAACTTAATTCATGTTCAAATATACATCTAATTAACATAAAATTTAATAATTAGTTTAATAACATTCAAATTCTTTTAATACATTAACCAAATAAAAATTAAAATGTATAAAATTGATGATTGCATATATTTTGAAGGCTGTCAATTGATGAAGGAATTTTTTCACTTTGGTCACTAACGTGCTGAAGAACCTACTGAATAATAGCATATAATTTTTAACACTTCATTGTAAGCTTTTTTTATATTAAAAAATATAAATATTTACTAAATATAATACCTGAGTTGAAGGACCATTGAGATCAATTCCTAAAAATTGTTGTTATACAAAATTCATAAGATGATCGAATCGATCATGCAACTACTGAAATTTTGCATGCTCTTGCTCTATTCTAGCATGTTCTCCCTCAATTTTGGCATGCTCCTGTTCTCTTTCTGCTTCCATTTACTGAAAACATTGTTGCATAGTTTGTAACTCATCTCTCAATATCAAAATGTCTCATGAAGATTGACTTACTGAGAATATAAATTGTTGAGAGTTACATCTATAATAGGTAGATGGTGTTGGACCCAATCCAAGGTCTCAAACCCATCTATGCTTTTCTTTTCCAGCAACTTCTATGAATATCAAAATTTCAATTCTTGCATGTTAAGAGAACCATCAGATGCTATTTCAATCTTAGTAACCATTTTTTCTTTCACTTTCTCCTGTAAATTAGTCATATACAACTATCAAGTTTAATGATTAATTGATAATATGTTAAAAAGAGTAAATATTTACAATTTGTTAAAATAGTTTTACAAATTATCATAATTTCTTGTATTTCGACATTCATGTAAGATCCATTTTTTTTGTGTGTGTTAAGCAAAAAAGTTTCACACGTCCAATTTGACCACCCATCTCAATCTTTTATACAAAAACATATGTTATTTGATAGGATACATATCAATCGTAACTTATTCATGCATATCATGCTTGTCAATCAAGTTTAAAAGTTTCAAATAATTTTAATATCATGTATTTATATTTTGGCTCCTTTACAACACAAAAGTCTTAAACAGTCACAAACAATAAAAGCATTTTAGCCTTTCACACATATCGATCATGGCAACTAAATTCAATTATTTGGACAAGTTTAATATCATGAATTGAAGCCATTCAAACTATTGAAAGCCATAAAAAAGTTTAATTTGTATTTTTACCTTTGAAAGGCAAAAATAGTCCCCAATAGACATAAATAATAATTTTTTCACCCATATCAATCGTAGAAACCAAGTTCAATCAATCAGACAAGTTTAATATCAAGTATTGAAGCTATCCAAATTGTTTAAATAGAACAATGACAAAAAAATTTGTAATTTTACCTAAATAGACATAAACAATAACTTTTTCATATATATCATCTGTCTCAATTAAGTTTAAAACTTTCTATAAATTTAATATCATGTATTGAAACTATCAAAACAGTACAATAACTGTTAATTTGCATATTTACTTTTTAACGACACGAAAGTTCATTCATTGGAATAAGTTTAAAATCATAAACTTACTATTTCTTTTTGCTTTCTTCTAAAACTTTTTGATCCACTTGTATGGCTATATTTCTATTGCTTTCTGCTACTAATCCCAATCTGTTCTTTTTTTTGTCATAAAAAATAATTGGGTATATCGTAGAAATACAAATATTACCAACTTAAAGCATAAAACACTTTCATTGTTTCATTCTACTATACAAAGTTATAAATTAGTACATCTCCTTTTCTTGAGAATCAAAATCTAACTAACTGTTCATATTACCACCTAATCACATTACAGGGTAGATTTTCTATCGTCGTCTCTACAGTTATATTTCT